CATTCCACACTTCGTAGAGAAGCCAAAAAAGGAACACGCAGAAAAACCCGAACCAAAGAAGAAGCCCCAAAAGAAGGTCCTGCCTACGATACCTGAGGAATATGATTATAACTTACTAAAAGCCGGCTTAGCCACCGCAGGCGTTGGTCTGAGTTATTATATATGGCGATGAACAACCCCTACGTAGCGGGAGTAGATTGTGTCTATACGACTTACACAGGCGAGAAAAAATACACCCAGGCATCTTGGGTTGATGTCACGGGCATGTCCGTGGATCTGAACTACTCAGGAAAGAAGCTGATAATATGCAGTATTTGCATTGGTACGAGCAGCCATGCCAACGTCGGCTTCAGGTTCCTGGATGACAACGGTATACTGCAGCCTATGCGTGTGAAGACAAACAACAGGGAGCCTACGCATTTCTCCGCGGAGCCCAACCCCGGCAGCGCTGAGAATCTTTCCGTTTGGACTTTTCACATGGTCGCCGATTGCCATGGAAAGGTAAAGCTGCAAATGCGCGTAGATGACACGGGAAGCGTTGCGGTAAATAGCATAGAGGACCAAAGGGATACTATTTATAATCATAAGACCATTAGCACTCTTACGGTGATTAGTCTTTAAATATGTGAACCCACACGCGAAGGAAGATTGGTTTCTTCATTATTTGGAGGAAAAGGAATACTTACAACAGCAATGGTATGACACCGAGCTGTGGGTGAAGGTTGGGGGCCTGGGATTAATTATGTGTACTATTACCATTAACACGGGGTATTCATGCAATGCTGGGTTTAGGATCGTTGATGAGAATGGTTATCCATTACCGCCTTACAGAAAAAAAGATAACAATAGGAACCCAACCCATTTTTCGTCGGAGCCCCCGCCGCAAAGCACAGAGGACATAACGTCAATAACCTTTCATATGATAGCCAATTGCCAATATGCAAAGCTTCAGGTTCTTCCCAATGACGTTGCCTACCTTCGAATAAATGGTCAAGGTCCTGCTTCCTCCAATTCTGCTTGGTGTCATAAGCCCACTAGCACCATGAGTGTGCTGCCGCTAGTTCCGCATTATCAAGGCGGCGCGAATACTATCTTTACTTATCCCCAGTCGAGGACGCCTCGGATGCCCGACGAC